TAGGTTGCCAATGTCATCGCCAATGAGGCTATGGCAGATTTTAGCTGCTAGTTGAGGATTTTATAGGTTCCATTACTTTTTCGCAGGATCAAAAAGTAAAATTTGGGAATTTTGAAACATTTCGCATGTCGACAACCGGTGGACGTTGACTGAAAAAGATCCATGGTTTGGGGGTGAGGTGGCGGGGGGGGGAGGTGGAAATTTAGTTTTAATATTTCTTTTTTTTTGGTTTTTTTATTTAGTTACTTTAATTGTTTAATGCGGTAAATATAAAATTACTACTTTGTCCACATTAAAATTGTTAAAAATTTGGTCAAACTTAATTTTCTAGTCAACTAATGAAAAAGTGGATGGTTTTCATCCATTTATCCTCTAACTGCATGTACTTGAAAGGTTTGGGACTAAGGGCGTAATAAATGAAAGATTAGGGTAAAACACGCAAATATTTGCAATGTTTGAGATCGTGGCTGCAGTTATCCCCTTTTTGAAATGATATTTAGTTTTAATATTTCCTTTTTTTTGATTTTTTATTTAGTTACTTTAATTTTTTAATGCGGTAAATATAAAATTACTACTTTGTCCTCATTAAAATTGTTAAAAATTTGGTCAAACTTAATTTTCTAGCCAACTAATGAAAAAGTGGATGGTTTTCATCCATTTATCCTCTAACTGCATGTACTTGAAAGGTTTGGGACTAAGGGCGTAATAAATGAAAGATTAGGATAAAACACGCAAATATTTGCAATGTTTGAGATCGTGGCTGCAGTTATCCCCTTTTTGAAATGAGATATTTATTCATGTAACATTTACGATAATATTTGATGTAACTTTATGTCGAGTTACGACTTCGGTAGTAATATTCAATACCTAAATTGATATATTACTCCATGTAGCAGTAATTACTTGAATGTAACTCCCTTGCTAGCTTTAGATAAGATCGAATATTTCAGTGCATTATCGTAGCGAACTAATAAAGAAAGAGCAAAAATTGAATAATGAGAAACAATCGAATATATATAACTAAATTAGCTATGCGAAAAAATTGAAAATATAGTTCAATGTCTTTTTTAGAGCTAAGATTTTAATCGAGACACATATATCTTATTATGACTGACTGAGAATAATATCTTTAAACTATTTTATTGTGCAAGTTAATAAATCTCTAAGTATGAGAAGCTTCTCAAAAACATTGACATTACCAATCAAAAAGTAAAATCTTGACAAATAGATGATTACTTCATTTGTATAACAAAGTCGAGAAAAAGATGTCATTCATAATATAATTAATTTTAGTTTTAAATTAAAGGCAGTCTCTTTTTTTAGGACCACCTAATTAATATTTGGAAATTCATTTGATTATTCTAATTAATTAAGGTCAAACATTTGATAACCTAATATTAATTTCCGTACACACTTAGAACTTTCTACGAGTCTAGAAGGCAGTAAGACTAACTAAAAAGTAGAAAAGTTGTTCATGCATATTGATAGAGACCACCCATAACACGTCTGTCAGATTGATCTAACTTTAACAAGATTGCTTTTTCTAGAATATTGAATTTTTATTTTATTTTATTTTTATTTTTATATCTTACGCGAATTTGGAATACTGGATAGAATATAATTAAATATATAAAGTAATTTCTTTTTTAGATATTTTTACCACGGGCTATGATTATTGTAACTATTTTTTAAGACGAAAGTTTAAATTCGCAATTGAGTAATAACTTTTTGTGGACTAAATTAATGTGAAAGGTTTTAAAAAAAAAAAAAGAAAAAAGAAAGAAAGAGATTTTTGATATGTGTGTGTGTGTGTGTGTGTGTGAAAGTCTAAGTGCAATATTTCAATGTTGTATATTATAAATTTATTTCACGTATAAATGAAATTTCGATCTTTATTATTATTCTTATTATTGTCGTCGTTATTGTTGTTTTCTAATAGTCATCATGAATAGTACTTAATTTGAGCCATTTGATTTACCTGAGGTTCTAGAATTTTATATATAATAGAAAGATGAAACTTTAAAGTTTGGGGACGTCTGTGGTACAAATAAAATGTTTGTGTATCATCAGCAAAAAAATAAATAAATTAATTAAATACATTGGGACCACAACTACAATTATTTCTTTTTTAATTTTAGCACTCTCTAAGTGAATTTAACAGCTTAAGTAACGAATATAGATGGTATGGGTCTTCACTCTTCCGCACGTACAATGTCATCTTGGGAAATTTTTCGCCAATCTGGATGAATATGGGGGCATTCTGCAATAGAGGCAAAGGTCAAGAAAATTTTGCACCAATTACTCGGATCTAAAAACTAAAATTTGAAAAATTTAAGTGTAACATATTTCAAAAAGAATGAAATCCTTTTCCTATATGTTTATCAGTGCTTGAAGATTTCTGCTATTACTAATTTACATATCATTTTTATTTTAATACACTTTGTAAAGTGTTTCGTTAACATTAATCTTGAAATTTTCGGTTATTTGAACTTAAGATAAAATGAATTGCTCAATTTGAATTTTGATCTCGTACTACACATTGTTGTTAGACAAAATTAAAATGTTACCCTTAATGAGTTGCCCCTAAAAAATATTGTTATTATTATTTTTTAAGAACAAATGAGTTTGGATGAGAAATTTTTGGAGAATGTGTGATTAAAAATTAAGAAAAAAATTTGAATTTACATGCAAAATATTTTATTACAAGAACGCAGATTGAAAATTACTTTTAGAAAAAAAAAATAATAATAATTTGAAGAATGGTAGACAAACTGTGGTATTTGACTTTGTTTTTTTCCTAATTAACATTGATTTTGGATGGTTTTTGACTTCTGAAAATGATTGGCAAGTTGAAGACAAAATGTACATAGTTAGATTTAGCTGCAAAGTTAGGTTAGAGAAAAAGAAGCTTGAAAGAAGATTCGTGCACTCTAGAACAATATTGAATTATTGAGCTGAATTGTCCAGTTTTACTAGTGGACATGTCAAGGAGAAAATTTCTTATAAGTGCAACAAATTCGAGAGAAAGTGAAAGATGGTTAAATAGTTTAGAACTTTTCAAATGACTTTTGTATATTAATTTTCTTTTTTTAATATCATATATGAGAGTTCAAATCAATTGCGTTCAATAAAAAGAAAAGAAAGTTCAATTCTTAAAGTTGTTTGCGATCTTCAGATAGTCGAGCCATACCCGTATATTTATGACATCATTTCCAGCAAAATCTATAGTTCTTCTTCAAAATTATGCTAGTTTTCAAGATTTAGTTTATCAATCAATAAGTCATATCTCCAAATGACACTTTTTATTGGTGACGTACATGGTCAACCAGAGTACAATGCTAATCGAAAGAACATATTAGAGATAGTTACAATACTCTACGTGTATCTTATGAGTTAGAATATAGTTGTAGTGTTCTACATTACAATTTGATAACTCAATCAACTTAATCAATTTTTGAATTAATCAAGTTTAAACCGGATCAACTCAACTATGGATATGAACACTTACAAAGAAGCTACTGAATTCATTTGAAGATTTTTTAGCTTAAATACTATTTTGCAAACATTTTAGCTAATATTGATCACGTGATCTTGACTCGAAGTTGACGTAACATTTCCAAAATGAACAATATGAATTTAAGTCAAATTTAATTTCAATTTTCGCAACGTTTGATCTTAATCATATTTTCACAAAAAATTAAAAATAGTTTTACTACTAGACTGTGGTGCAATAAGATGAGTATACGAAATTTGAGGTGAAGTTACACTTGGATAAATAGATGAAGGACCAAGCATGTAAATAGTCTCCATTTTCGGATGTCCACAAATGCAATTCCTAGAAGACTCACATGTTACACCGTACAATTTGCGCCGCCAATTATGCAGTTACGAAATGCAATTTGCCATCTCGATTCTTGTATAATATATTCACTTTAATTTGGAATATAGTGAAGAATTTATCACACAATAATTATGCATGTTACTCACTATTTGTTTTATTTTGATGCTATTTAACTATGTCCCTATCTATTTTTTAAAATTTATTTTTTTTCAAATACATTTTCAGTCATATAGTTTATGAGATCCACAACCTTCCAATTATGGATTTTGCCAGAAGATTTTAACATAATTTAAGGTGACATAAGATGATTCGATATGAAAGTTGATTGTGTTTAAAATAGTCTAATGATATAATGACATGTGACATTATCATTATACCACTTTATGTCAAAGAATCTGGCACTATAGTATGATTTTTCAATTATAGATTTCATTTAGCTCGTATTTGGTTGAGATTAAAATGGTTGTGTGACAAGCACATAACACTATATATAATGATTTACCATCAAATAATTTGTCGAGATTTAATTGGATCAAAATTTTATCAATCAAATAAGTTCTTTACTTACATTTTGACAGCTCATTATTATGTAAAATATTATGTAAATATTTATGTACACGAATCATTTTCAGACTAAAATCAGATTCTTTTGTAAATTTTAATAAAAGTTGATGAAAAGTGTGATTGTTAAAGATATAAATCCCATGAATTACGTAATTAAAATTAATTATTAATTTTGACCAAACAGAAACTTCCTAAAATTTCATGAAATTTCAAGTTATTTGTCATGTGAAGAGTTGACTAGTAAATTGTTTTGTTATATAGGATGTGTAGAACCCTGCAACCTCCTCTTAAGGTGTCATATGTTTCATTGTTGCATGTTTATGTTTCATTCAAAACAAATTTAACCTAAATTTGACATGTTATCAATCCCATTTCAAAGAGAGGCTTATGATTGCGACAATCATTTTAGTGTGGAATTCTGCCTACTTTTTCTTGCAGAAACTTAATCAGAAGTTGTTCGTTTTTTGAGATTATAAGTTGACAAACTTTATTTTTAACCACATATTTAATTGAATTTACAATTCATTTTTAATCACACATTTCAATAGATCCGTCAGCTCATAATCTCAAATAGTTCAGACTAAAACATCACAAGTAATGTAAAAAACTGTAAAGATAAAATTTAAAGAAAATTTACTGCAAATAGAGGAGGACAAAGACTGGGGGGAGAATTGAGTACTCAAATTAATAATTTGCTAGTCAATATTATGACAATCATTCTCTAGAAGCTAATCAAGCCGGCTTCTTCATGAACTTTCATATCCACCTCAAACCCTGCACATAACAACAAAATTGAATTGTTGTTAATAACGAATGGAATAAGATGGTGAAAAAAGAATTTATATAATATTTATTGATCGCGACATTTAAATATATTTGAAATTCTCGATCCATAGAAACAGGTATGAGTTACTTAGCAATTCTTCTGAAGAAAACATTTTTTTTTTTTAAAACACGCGACATGGTTAATTATACTTAAAAGCAACTTATTAACTGCTTTTTCTTTACAATATGTCTTTACATGCTATCGAAAAAAGAAACTAAAATACTACTAGACGAAAAATATGTTACCAAGGAAAGGAGTTTTAAAAAGTTATTTTTAAGAAAGAATAAACATCTTCGCCGCTTTTGAGTCCCATTTTTCTAAAAATTAGATTTTGCAATAGTAATTTCTTGGCGAATATATGGTTAAAAGGTAGTTGAATTTACATGTAAAATTTATTTTATTGAGAGAATTTTACGAGAAAAAAACTGCATTCTCTCTTTGAATTATATATAGGAAGAATATTGACACCTTCCACACACATAAGGAAGTCTTCTTCTCCCGTATCATTTAAATTTTAATGCAAGTTTTTGTCGTCAATTGGAAAATTATTCAGAAGAGACAAATTTTTGATGTACTCACTGTTGAATTTCTATGTTCATGGAAGTTGCAGGCGGATTTCCAATTGTACCAAACGCTGTATTTGATAGTACTATGGTGACTCCTTCCCTGCTTGGCCGAGAAACCGAAGTTTGAGCCCGGTCAACTATCTTTACTTGAATTGTCTGTCCTGGAATGCAAGTGTTCGGCACGGCGGCGCTGATACATCTCACCAAGTACTGACGTCCACAGGAAGCGCCATTGTCCCATATCCCCTCTCCGGCGGCCGCGAACAGGTTGCTCGACGGGAATTGTGATGCATCACTGCCATAACACGTGGTGGCTGCATATAGATATATACATTCTTGAATCAGTGGAAAGTAATCTCAAATAGAACAGTTGAATTCTAAATTCTCAGTCAGAAGAGAACTTACGTGTATAAGGGGGATTGTAGACGCTGGCGGTCCCCACGTCAGCATGGGAGATATCGCAGATGCAAACGAAGAAGAAGAAGAAGAACGTCCGTATGATGAGAGGATTTAACATCCTATAAATTCAATGGAGGAAAAATCGTTTATCTACAATGTTTTAACAACATATATAAATTATAAACTGGTTCTATATAAATTGGGATTGGCTATTCAAAGTCAACTTCAAATTTATTAGGTTATAAATTTCTACGCATGACGTACGGTAGCTCAACATATTCTAGCAATTAAATTTAGGATAACGTTATCCAATATAATGGTATTGAACACAAGTCTAAGTATCAGCATATCATAGGCTCTATTAAATGGATAGTAATTTATTTTATTTAATTGAACCTGTAACTTAATGTTGTCACCTAGACTAATGTTAATATCAGTTGTGCTAAATAACGTTAAATTGATTGATCAAGAAAGAAATTATCAAATTTAGAATTCACAAAATAAGCAATGGAAACTCAGAAAACAATATGCTTCTATTTGGTTCAGCTAAAAAAATTATTGAAATATAAGTCAAAATTAACAATTAAAACTTTTTAACCATATATTTTATTAATTTTTTTTTTTTTTTTTATCAAAATCTATTACAAGTCTAATTTTTATACAAAATAGGGGTGTTGACACAAAAGCTTAAATTTGAAGAACTAAAAGACCCTTTCGAAATGTCTAGGGGTTGGACTGTAATTACAAAAAAAGGAAAAATAATAATAAGAAGAAAAAGATGCAGCAGCATGTAATCAATTTCCTTTTTGCATGAGCATCAGAATACTTTTCCCTATTCGACTTTACTTTTGATTAGAATAAAGAATAATGCTAAACGAACAAGACCATGTAGGGCCGCTTTATAATAGGGGCACAGTTGGCCCCCTTTGATAGGCAGGGAGAGATCCTATGTGACCCTGTTAATGTTGCATAACTCGTGGAGTCAAAAGTAACAAATCTAGAAGCATTCCTTCTAGTGAACATTTAAGATATAAAGGGATCCAATACTTTATCACTTAATCATAAGCATATTTAGCATGGATGATTCGATACTCCATTATTATTTGTTATTCATAGTACATTTGAAACATACTTGATCGATTTCAAGTTTTAGAAAGAAAAAAAAAAAGTATAAAAGGCAAAGTAATACCATTTGACATTTTTCAGTTTAGTTTACTATAAAAATAAATGTGATTTTAAGATCATGTTTAGTAGGAATTAAAATCAAATTTTAGGAAATTTTGATAAAAGTTAATGAAATATGTGGTTGAAAAATTTCGAAACATATAAATATGTGGTTAAAATTAATTATTGACTTTGACATAACTTAAAATTTGAAGATTAATCTCTATCATTAGAAATTGAAAAATTTACATTTTCTCAAATTCTATATATCCTAAAAGCTCCCAAATTTTGGTAACTATTGCATAATCAAAACCTCAACTCCAAGAGTAAAATCAGTTAATCAATAGAGCCACATAGTTGTTAAGTGGGAACCCTAGTTAGTTGCAGAGTCTATCCAAGTCCAAATTAACAAGCCCTATTTGACTTGATTTTATTAAAAATCAAATTTTCAATAGATTCCTGTAAAAGTTAATGAAACGAATGAACAAGAAGTTAAAAAAAAAAAAAATAAAATAAATTTGTGAGTTTCATAAAATATGTAGTTAAAAAATAAGGTCAAACAAAGGCCAAGCCCCCGTTTGGGCTTTATTTTTTTATTCAAAATTTATTTTCAATTACACATTCTCTCGTAAAATAATTTTATACGTAAATCAAATTTTTTTCTTATTGTTAATTTACACATTCTCCAAAAAAAGTCAATAATCAAGAATATATTTTAATCCAAAAATGGATCTCGAACATGGGCCAAAAGCATCATTTTCTGTCGTGATGGGCGGGCGAGCATATGTTATTGGGCAATGAATATTCCATGCCGCCGAAAGTGAACGCGTATTTAATTTTGACGGGTTCAACATTAGGTCGCCATAGCTAAGGGCAACTGTACATTGGAAGATCCTAGGCCAGGAAATACCATGATAAGCCACCGTTTGGCCCCATTTTTTGAAATGAAAATAGGTGTAACAATATTTTTTAAAAAAAAAAATGAGCAATTGAAAAAGAAGAAATTTTTTTCAATTTATGTGTAATATTATTTTATCAAAAATTGTGTGATTGAAAAACAGAGAGAGAAAAATCAAATATAATTTAATGAAGGTCAAATGGGGAGCTTATTATTGTATTAATGATCTTCAAGACTACACAAAAGTATTGGCATAAATAAAAGAAAAAAAAACCATATCTCAGACAAATAGAGTAATTTTTGCGTTATAGCACCGGTACAGGTGATACTAGGTGACATTAAATGTGACGTAAATTTAAATGAGTAACATAATTCTACCTTTGATAGAGTCTATCATATAGTATAATCTAAATTGATGTTATAGCATCAATTCGTTTGAATAGTGTCTATGGTTGACCTGCCTCTATAATTAGG